AAGGAATATTATTCTGCAAGACTCTTTTACTTAAGCAGTAAACTTGTGGGAACAAGGCAGAAGGACAGCATCTCTCGCAGAGGTGGCACGTCCCAGGATAGTGCTGTGTTCCTTGAGCATAATGCGTACCTGGAGTGAACCCGCCGGGGGAAGATCGTAACTCTCCTTTAATGCACATTTTTACTTTTATTTTCTGCTTTTTTCGTGTTTATTCCATGCAAGCTGGCAGGCAAACCCGTTTCAATAAATCTGTCTGGAGAGGGAGAAAAGGTGTCCTCTGGCAGTTTTGAAGCCCATGAAAACTGGTCATAGATCACGTTTAAATGTCAACCCCGTTGAAAGCCCATCACTCTCCAGCTGCTCCTGTGCTAGCCTACAGACAGGCCAAGCTGGTTAGCAGGGCTAATTCATGGCCCAGCAATAGAATTCAGTTGCACTTGTTCATTATTTATAGAACTCACAGGCATCAATGTTCTGGCCAGATCAAGTTACAGGAGCAATGATGGAAAAAGGGTTATGGTTTAAAATTAGGCAGGGGCTAAGCTGACTTGCTGGAGACCACGGTCCATGAATGAAGGAATTTAATGCATTCTCCTGAGTACTAACGTGTGTTCACTTTTGGGAAGGTCATGGGTACTAAAGTTTCGCTTAGAGGAACTTATACACAAGAGGCAGATAGAAATGATTAAGTAAATGTCTGTCAGGGACAGCTGAGAAAATTGTACATTAGGTCACATAAGTGGGATATCCCGGAGAAGAACAGCAGGCAGTGTCAGGAGACTAGGTGGTCTTGCTTGTTTTGTCCTTAAGTGGGAAGGGCTGAGTAGCATCAGCCTGAAGGTTTGCCAGAAGATCACCAACGTGTTGCTTGAAACTGCTGACAGCAGCTTGGCCCGAGCATCCTGGCACCTGCATCAGTGATGGCATTGCTTTCCCCCTGGGTACCAGTCAGCACAGTGCCTGTGAGAGCTCCTAGATGCTCCTAAAATCAGACAGGTAGGCCCATCCTTCCAGTGCTCCACGTTAGGCAAGCCCATGGAGGCACTGGGAGACAAGGGTGACCTTCCCCCCTTGCCACCTACTCACAGCCTCTGGATATGTGGTGGCCTATGTTTCATTCAGAAAAAAAGTCCCAGCACTTTAGGCTGTTTGGTTAGTAACTGATGGCACCTCTAGGTGAATCTGTAGATGCAAAGTCTACAGTTACAATCTGCTTATCTTGATTGTAAAAGGTAAAACAGGGGCCAGCATTTGTTAAGTTTGCACCCAGGGCATGTATCATCCTCGGGCTCTTTGCAGCCAGAAGAGTTTAGCTACTCATCCTAAGTTTGATCCTAGAAACCCTGGAAATGCAAGTAGATCCTACAGGAATCACTGGAACAGCACGGATGCGATAAATAGGGTGATACTCTAGCAAAGTTCTTATGCATGGCAACATTTCTTGGCCAGGTCCGGGCTTTGGGATATGCTGGGCAATAAGAAATGCTGGGCTGAGGGTTTCAGGAGGGATTCAGGCAGCTAATATGGTCCTAACTGAGAAAGTACTGTCAGGATTTTTCTGCTTGTATCCTTCTTTTTTCTGGTGTACATATATATTGTTTCGGCCAGAATGACATTATTTGTGCTTGTTTGCAGATGTATTATTGCTCTGAAGTTTAAGCATGAGCTCTGTGATATGGGGATGAGATAACGTGGCTACTTTATGAGAAGATTTGTCCAGAACAGGTCCCAAGGCACTTTCCCAACAAATAAACTCCTGCAGCGATAACCTGCTTAATTATTAAATATGGAAATGAAACCATTGCATTGTTAGTCCCTCAGAAGATCCTAATACCTAACTACTGTCCAGAGCTAATTTTCTGAACAATAATTTAATACACAGCACAGATAAACTGCGTACTTAGATTGAATACCAATGATGTTTCCGTGACATGAAATATGGCCTTAAGCTGAGCATCACTATGGCAACTAATGACATCACCGCAGGCTTCAACCTGCACAAAACCCAACTTCTGAGGGTCTCTATTTGTTGGCGCGGATCTTTTCAGGGCTTTTGGGGGTATGAATATGTAAGCGCCACAGTGTTGTCAAGGGTTTGCTATGTATGTTTACTGTCATTTGAAACATTTATTCCCTTTGTGGTTAATGTTGTTCCCATGAAGGAAACCTAATGAAAATTACTGTTTGTATTTGGTTAGTAACATTTGTTGATAACATATGGTCTGGGAATGCTTCAGCAAATAAGAGCTTTTTAATAGTAAACAGAGATATGAGTTCTATAAAGCAGATGCTGTCAAAATACACAGTGTAAGGTTGGATATTTTCTTACTTTTGCCTCTTACCCAAACCAAGATTATCTTCCTACTTTCCCTGCTGGTGACAATGCAGGGTTTTTAAGAGAGAAAATAGAACCTGTGACCTGAAGCTGCAGTTTGAAACTAAGGGTGTTTCTTGGTTCTTATGCTTAAAACCTTTATTAGGTGGCTGATGGTTCACACATGAAAAAGATCTAATATTGGGGATCTGACGGGACCTGTAGTGCTGTAGATAATTTATGCCAAACCCCTGCTCCCTGGCACTGGTGGCAGTTTGATGCATCGTCATAAAGGATGAAACATGTGGAACAGTGGCACCGGGAGAGAAAACTTCAGAGCAAAGCTGACGAAGAAACTGAGTTTGTTAATCAGCTCTGCGCAGAACACACTCATCTGCTAAGCTCAGCTGGACAAGATTTGCTCAGAGGAGAGCAAAGCATAGAACCGTGCTCCTTGAGCACAGGAAAGAGTAAATTATTTTTCCCAATAACTTTCCAAATGCAAAATCTGCTGTTTGGTATTTATGTTTGAAAAACATCTAGTCGCTGGACCACATGTCATCTGAGCCTTTTCCCAGTCATTTCAAGGGAACTGCCTTTCTTCAGCAGAGGATCTAGTTTGAGGACAGTATAAATGAAGTGTCATTTGTGTCATGAGGGTGAACGGAACTGGTTAGTGAGATACCGTATAATCTCTCATCTGACTTACCGTATTTTAGGTTGCAGTGTGTGTTCCATCGCATCACTGGGAGGTGTTGCTCCTGGCATGCTCTTGTACAAGAAGCACCTTGTCTGATTGTTCTTCAAGGTTGCTCGTACGCTTTGCATAAGTTTTGAAGTGTGATGAATTTTCAGGGTGCCTGGGAACAACATAGAAATCTAGCTCACAATGAATTATAAAAAAAGAACAAAAAAAGAAATAAGAGCTGGGTTTATCTGCTAGTTTCACGTTGCGCCTCTGCATGATCAGATGTTTGGGAGCATCCTCCTTGTAGTGGTGCACTCTTCCCCAGTCCTCCCCCTGCCCTTCATCTTTGGCTGAGCTGTTCTAACAAGGGCAAGTGCACTGTTAGGAGTGCTTTGCTTAGCTCACTCAGGAAGTTTCTGTCTGGTTTCATTTTAATAAGTTTCTAACTTCCTAAGCTGTAGAAATAAAGCGTGAAACACAGCTGTGAAATCTCAAACATAAAAGCATCATGACTTTTTACCCTTTAGTGTAGAAAGTATTTTCTTTTTCTCCTCTGCTACTTTCAACAAATAGGCATTAGTTCAAGTTCCACTTAATTTTTGTTCCATGACCCTCTTCAGTCTGTGCTTGTTTGCCAGAGGGGAGCATTTTCCTGTATCTCAAAAAATTTAGCACAGGTGAGAAATTTGATGCGCTGGTGTGGAAGCTCTTCATGAGCCTGTTTGAAAAGCTGTGGCCCTTAGGTTGTTGAACAGACTTGGCGTTTCACAGATTTCTTTTCCCTTTGATCTGTCTAAATCAAAGCTGACTGCTGTGTAAGGTCCAGGTATCCTTAAGAAAACTCCACAAGGATGCTCGCCGGCGCAGCTCAGGTGAGCCCCCGCGGCTGTCACCAGGCAGCAGCTCCTGCTGCAGCATGCTGCTCGCTGGGATGGGAATGGGGCCCCGGAGGAAAGTTCCTGAAAGAAGGTGCAATGGGCTGTGGCCAAACTGGGGCTCTGTCCTCAAGGCTTCCCCAAGTGTCTGGGGTCAGAGAGGAAACCTCTAGCATGACGTGCTCAGGCCCATCACCAGACCTCCCTCCGGTGGGCTTCAGGGCTACAGTGGTTCCCACGCTCGGGGGGAAGGTCAGCTGTGGGGTAGGCTCCCCTTGTAAGACGTAAAATGGCTTGTTTGGCCGTAGGTGTCGGCAGGCTGTGATTGAATGAGTTCATGTTCTCTGCATACTCGGGCAGTTTGTGGTTGCAGGATCTTGGAGATGTCCTCTAGAAACATGTGTGTCTAGAGAGGGTTTGCACATACTGTGGGTCATTCAGCCTCCATAGCGCTGCTTTCCAAGCCACAGGACCAGCCAAGGGATGACTCAGGGAGTACAAACAGTAGGCAGCGGTCTCAGTTCCTTGTGTTGACGGAGATGTGGCCACTTCCTGGCCACTGCTGTCCCATCCCCAAGGAGCTGGTGTCCTGCTCTGCGGTCCCAGTAAACTGGGATTACTCCAGATGTAATGGCTTGAAATTGAACCTGGGCTGGGCTGGGACTTGGAAGAGGACCCAGGTTAAATTGGGTTTTCTTCAGAGAAAGCAAACCTCACTGTCAAACTGGAAAGGAGAGGTTAATTAGCCAAGGGAAGAGCAGAGGCGTGAGCGATTACAGATGTCCTAGGTGCAGATGCCCTCGATCCTCAACTTCTGTTGTGACTGTACAGGCTGTTGCTGCAGGAGACATATTGTTCTTTCTAAATAAAAAATTCTCATAAATTTGGTTTCATGCTGCTCCCAAATACTATCTTTTTTTTTTCCCCAAAGAACCATCATGGGTTTTCCAAACATCTGTCCCACATTTCCCAAAGAAGATTATTAATGCCCTTGTCACTCAGACAGCCCAGACGCTTCAGCTTGGGCCAGACGGGACATTTCCAGTTAACCATTGCGTGCCCAAGCAGTAGTGCTGCTGACCTGCTGGTCGAGCTGAACATCTCTCTGTCCTTATTTTCACAGCTGGGGCACCCAAGGAGACTTCACGACAACGCACGCGCTTCCTGCAGTGAAGGTGAAGCTGTTCACGGAGAGCACAGGAGTGCTGGCTCTGGAGGACAAAGAGCTTGGGAGGGTAAGGAGATTCTGAGTTTAATAATGTTTCCTTCTGGCCCTGCTTTTCTAGAGAAATCTCTCCTGTACGGAAATATCTTTGGAGCACAACATGCTCTGCTTTTTTGCCAAGCTTCAGGAGGGGAGGGAAAAAAAGCAAGCTCTCCACTGCTGGAAAGGAGTGCATCTCGCATGCTGTCTTTGTTGTGAGTTTTTAATGGCAGCATTTCAGCTGGCTGTGCCCGCGCTCAGCAAAGGCAGAGGATCTTGTGTGCGATATTGGCAGTCCGGAAAGCCTTAGAAGTTGCTTACGGAAATGGACATTCCTGAAGCAGAAAAGGGGATTATGCTGAAGCAGAAAGAGGGGATTTAAGTTTGGCAAGAGAGTGCTAAGCTGCTTTCGTATCTGCTGAGCAGCCGGTGCACGGTTTGAGCATTTGAAAGCACTGACTGCGGTACTCACTGCAAAGGGCTTGAAATCCTGGCTCCCCCGGGGATTGCAGCTGAACTGGTGGCTTCAGCAGAGGAGCGAAATGTGGAGGTTCATTTCCACCATCAATGGTGTTAATAGTGAAGAGCTCAGATTCTCGGGGTACTGGCCACAGTGCCATCCTTCCCACCCCATCTCTGCCTCTCACCTGTGGTCCCTAAACCAGCACCCTGGGACTGGTGGCCATCCATCGCTGCAGCCCACAGCTCCAGAATATCTGTGGACGACACTTTTCTGTGGCTTTGGGACACTTCAGTTAGTCTCCATACATTTTTTTGCAGCTGTAGAATTTGTGTTGCCCCCCGGCATAACTGGCAGCAAGCTCCCTGCCATCCCTTCCTCAGCTCCTCAGGGATCTGCATGGTGAAGACCCCATGAAAACCAGTTTGCAGGAAGAGGGGCTGCACCTTACACATGGGCTTGGCACCTCCCATCTCACGGCTCAGCATGGCCTGAGTGATCTCCAGGATCAGGCTGGGCTCTGTCTGCCCGGCTCTGCAGCACACCTTGCTCTCCCCTTGTCTACATGGCCATGGCCAAGATCCTGTGGCAAGCCCAAGTATGGTATTTACAATCATGGACTAACCTCTTGGGATGTTTCTTGCTTACTCCATGGCTGCTTGTGCCCTTACACAGGAGAGTCTGTGTCTGTAAAACAAAGTTTTTCCTAATTAACGTGGTTTTGTATTCATCCTACTCATACAAGTGCCAAACGTTTTTCCAGGTCCTAGTGAACTGTTGTTCTAATTTATATCTTTATGGTGGAGAGTGTGGCATGTGATTTTTCTCCCATGCAATATATGTTCATTTTAGCTGTTTGGGTTTTCATGTTCACATAACCTCCTTTGTTCTTGCACTTGAGAGAGAAAAGCAAAACTATCCCTTCTTTTCTTCTCTCAATCTTTTCTTCAAAGAGTTGCAGCCCCTTCGGACTTTCCTCATCCACACCTTGATCTTTCCTTTCTCCCTATCCTGCTCCTTTTTTCACAAAGGGGGTGACCCCACCAGGCTGCAGTACTCCAGCCGAAGACCTACAGCTGCTTTGCCACACGGCATCCTAATATTTTCAGGATTATTTTCAAAACCTCGTTCTTCAAACAGCCCGGCACTCCTGCCTTTATCCACTGCAGCATGCTGAGCAGAGCTTTTCACCCGGCCGGCCGCGATGCCATTCAGGGCTTTTTCCTGAGTGGTTACACTTGGTGTAGACCCGCTTGCTTTGTAAGTCTTGTTTCCACTGGCAGCCATGAGCGGTGCTGACTTTGCTGGTCTCGGGAAGCAATTAGCTGTGCATGTTGTTCTGAGAAAGACATCAGGCCCCAAAGCAACCCCTCTTGCCCTGAAATGCTGATGAGCCAGCCCCGCCGATGCGCTTTAATTCCCAGTCCAGCGGGAAGCCATCCCTCAGCTCTGAGCTTCTGCGCTCCGAAGGATGTGGGCCAGCAGCGGCTAGGGCGGGCGGCCGGGCGGTGATTTCCCCTGGCCCGTAGCCACCAATGCTTTCAGTCGGACAAACTTCAAAGGGATGCTCAGTGTGCCCTGAGCGGCTGAGAGATGACACGTGTCTGCTCAGGCTGCATCAGGATTTCTTTTTTGATGAAATAATGAAATCGGGAGCATGTTAAGCCTCTGGTTTAGCTGTTAGAGTGGGCACGAACCTGTCTGCACGGAGAGAGGAGGGAAGCAGGTTTTATACACAAAAACACCCATGCTCAGCCACCCTTTGAGAAGCGGCTTTGTGCTCTGCCAGGCGTGTACAATGCCCACTTTCTATTGCGAGTGTTAAATTGGCAACCGGCCGGCACTCCTCATTTCACCACTTTTATCAAAGGGAGAGCTGGAAAATGGTCCCAAGCTCTAAACTGCTGGATGGGCAGCTGAAGGCATGGGAATACATCCTGGCCCTATTGAAGCCCGTGGCAAGGCTCCCATGGATTTCAGCCATGCCAAGACTTCATCTACTGAGAGCAAGGAGGGGAAGAGCCATGAATTACAACAACACTGAGCAAAGTTTATGTGCCTTTTGATGAAAAAGAGTTAGAAATCAAAGCAGAGAGCATCCCAAACACCAAGAGTGGCGGCTGCCTCGCTGAGAGATGTGTTTTAGTGCAAGTCCATGTGCTTGCTCAACCTGCCTTGCAGTGGGTCCTTGGAGGCTGCTCAGAGTTGGGGCCCATCCGTGTTTCTAAGAACGCCCCATGTGGAGGACTCACTTTTCATCTTCAGGATTTGATTAAATGTATTTTTTTTTCCAAGAATGATGCAGTGGAGGCTGGTGTTGCTCAGTTATCTGTGTAGCTAATAACAGCTTCAGATTCCTGCCAGAGAAAGCATTAGTCTAATTCAATAAAAGAAGTGATAAATAATGTTGATGAATAAGGGTGAAGTCGAGAATCTACTGTTGTTAACCTCAGGCTTCGGATGAGGCAATAAAATAATTTTTAAAATTGTCCATCAGAAGGTAATAGCATCAAGAATATTTTGGTGGAAAACAGTCCCTGGTTTGTTGACTCAGCAGTGAGGTTGAAGAGCAGAGGAATACAAGATTATATAGTCTGGGCAGGAGTTTGGCAGGAGCACAGACTAAGCGTGAGCAAGGAATGAGTGATGGAAGCACAGCAAATGAGGGTGAATGCTGCCATTTGCAAAATAATTCACTTGTGTAAAGGTTAATGGATTTAAATGGAGCTAAAGGAGATTCATCTCACTACAGGACAGTGGAGACTTGAATGAATTTGTGCCAGGCAAAGTCACCTCTGAGAATGAAAGCAGCAGAAGATGAATGGGCATAGGAGGGAGGGGGTTAAGCCACCTCAGAGGCTTATATGGAAGAAGATGGTGGATGTGGTGTAGTTCTGGGAGAATACTCTGTGGCTTGCTGTCTGAGGGAGCTGCTCTGCTTAGCAAGGGTAAGGGGTGAGTGGGAAAAGCACAGCTATGATCAGGAAGGATTACTCGCCTCTTGGAGCCTTTCAGTTCCTTGATGAGCCAAGCACTTCCACTGGTGTTCATCTGCACAGCCCCACTCCAGTCATTAGTGTTGCACTGATTTACCCCAGCTGGAGACCACCCCATCTTTTCCTCGCTGCAGGAAATGGAAGCAGAGTCCTGCGGCAACTGGTGTCATCACACGTGATGCAGATTTTATCTGCCGGCGTAGTGCAGTCTATCTGAAACATTGCCTACTGCATCCAGTCTTAACAGCAAGCAAAAAAATCAAACCAGCTTCCCCACAACCTGATGGTAGCAATAGATGAACCGTCTTAGGCAGAGCTTTCTGAGCCCCCCAAACAGCTCGCTTCACATGGGAAACATCAGGAAGGCTGGAGGTTGAGTTGTATGAGGCTGAAAGGAGGGGATTGCAGTGGGCAACTTCAGCAAAACTTGTTTGCTAATCACAGTAGTCCTCCATCACATCCAGACTGATTTACCGGGACGGTTGCAAGTTTGTTTACCACGGTCTTTCCTAAAATGATGGGAACTGATAATACAGTCCTGTTCTGCACAGGTGTGAACAATGGCGCAGTAGATAGAGGAGCCAAAGAATACATAAACTAATCTCAAAATAATAAGCTGTACTTTAAAAAAGCAATAAAAAGCCACTGATGGTGGGGCTATTCAGTGATGTGAATAGAAATTTCCAGACTGACTTTTAGAGGAAAGGTAGCTCATCTGATGCCCTTTTGTTGCCCATTAAAACCCATTTTGTGAATAATTTTTCCCTTTAACGTTGTTGATTTTGATGCTTGCAGGTTGTTCTCCACCCTACTCCCAATAGCCCAAAGCAATCGGAGTGGCACAAAATGACTGTTTCCAAAAACTGCCCAGATCAAGACCTGAAGATCAAGCTTGCTGTGCGAATGGATAAGCCTCAAAACATGAAGCACTCTGGGTAAATGCTTGTTTTGATCTGAACTCAATTTGTTTTGAATGTGCATTAGAAAAATTATCTTTTTTAAGATTCTGGAAGAGAAACTCTTTTTCTGAAGCTCACAGGAGGTCAAAAGAGACATAAATGTAAAAATGGCATTAGTTCAGTCATTTATAATGCATTTTCCATATTCTTAGCATAATCTTTTTAATGCATTTCAGCCAAAGAGTTTAAAATTTAAACAGTGTTCCTCAGGAAATTGCTAGGTTATTTTTTTTTCCTGTAAGGAAATAATAGGCGAACTGCCCAACTCTCTTACTGAGAATGCTATAATTTCTTAAGTTATTCAGTGTTTCCCTGTATTGACTTCTCAGAACCAAAAGCACAGTGCGCCTTCTGCTTGAAATAAACTCCAGGGTGATCATCATTATTTATACAGACATTCACAGCCCAAATAAATAGCAGTTGCCTGGAATAGGACTAATGATCTGTAGGTTAAAAGGGAAACCTCTCCCCTCCAGACGTGACCGTCAGAGGATCTGGGGCCAGGGAGATCCCTGCTTGCCACCTCTGGCTTCCACCTTCGTGCCGTGAAATTACGGATGAGATCGTCCTTGGGAAGATCTAGCTAACACCATTGGCAAGGCTTTCCTCTGCTTGCTCTTCAGAACTGAGGATGTGAGAAAAAATAGGAACTATCCAGGAAAGTCACTGTTTTGATTAACACTTTCTTTCTTTTTGGTGCTCTGAAAGTGACTTTGTTTCATTTTTTATTTTCAGTATTTTATTAGATTCAATCCATTATTATGTAGTTTGGATCACTCATCTTTTTTTTAATTTCTTCTCCCCTTCCTCCTGTTTTCTCTGCTAATGAGATCAGAGCCGATAGCCACATGTGAAGTTTCATTTTTCCACCACGATCACAGGCACCAAACCCAAGAGAGGGCGGTTCACCGGTCGTACCCATTTCCTTGGCCGCAGCTGATAGCAACAGGGCTGAGCGGTCCTGGCTTTTCTCAGGCTTTTTTTACTTCTTTACTTTGAGGGTGCCAGAGCACTGGAACAGGCTGCCATGGGGGGTTGTGGAGTCTCCTTCTCTGGAGATATTCAAAGCCCACCTGGATGATGTCCTGTGTAACATGTCCTAGGAGAACCTGCTTTAGCAGGGGGGTTGGACTGGATGATCTCCTGAGGTCCCTTCCAACCCTTGCCATTCTGTGATTCTTCAACTAACGTTTTATTTACAAGATGCTGCTTAAAACTACGTGGTTTATAATACTAGCTTGCTGTCAGAACTGAGATTGTCCTTCTGTTGATGTTAGCGGCAATAGCAAAAAGGACAATTATTTCCCAGTTCTTGAACTAGCCAAGGACTCGGTGCCCACATGAGCATGGCTTGGAGTTTTGTGACTTAAACATTCACCAAGAATATGTTGGATCTCTTCTGGTATAAGGAACCGCTCACATAGCCAAAAAGGAATTGTTTTTCTATTTATTGAGCCAGAACTAAAATAATTATAATTATACGTAAAACATATTAATGCTGAGTAATGTCCTTGTGTTTATTATTAGTCTGGTGCTGCCACTATTTTTGCCAGTGTTTGTATTACAGTGTCACAGTGGCCACTTCATCACAGAGATTAAATGCTAATTTTGACATTAATTTTAATAGTTAATTCTTTCTATGTAGAAAACAGTAAATTTGCTCCTCCTTAGAAATTACTGTTTGCTTGAATATCTGTAGCCAAGCTATTTCTAGGAATTAATTTTAAGCTGCTCAGCAAAGTGTCCTGGTTTAGTCAGTCCAGTGGATACTGGGATCCTGGGTACTGGTTTTGATGGAGCAGGTATCCCTCTCTCTTGCATCTCCCCTCAGCCAAATGGTTTTGTGAAGGCTCAAAGCAACATCTGAGGTTTCTGTCCCTTAATCTTTCTGTTGCAAATGTATTCACCCACCTGACTATGTCGTAGCTATTCACTGGCATCAAAGGGCTTCTAAATCCTGAGCAGGTTGTGAAAGACAAAGAGGAAGAGAGAATTAATACTGTGTAATATTTAGGCTCTGGGAGCTTTCTGTGTCACGTTCTTTACAGGTTATTTGTTCAGGCTAGAAATACACACCTTCATGAATGCTGCTGAGCTTAAAAGTCTTGCAATTATTCCTGCTTGTGTATTAACTTCAGTTTCCAGGTGTGAGGAAAACATGCTGAATAGCAAGAGAACAACATATCGTCACTTGCGTACTGAATTCACCTGTTCTTTTCTCCTAGGTATTTATGGGCCATTGGTAAAAATGTTTGGAAGAGATGGAAGAAACGATTCTTTGTCCTGGTCCAGGTAACAGATTTAACTAGAATTGATCTTAAATCACAACATGAAATATTTAAGTCTTTGTTCTGACCATTTTCAGTGTCGTGTAATTGATGCAAAGCTGTGGTTCTGCGTAGGGTGTTTGCTAAGTGATGGAGTTTTTTCTGAATGTGTACAACTTCTCAAGGATATCCCAGTTGCAGACCTCTAGCCATGAGTTTCCTCACACAAATGAATGCTTGGTGAAATGGAGAGCCAATGTTAGTGAGGAATTAATAAGATGAGGAGGAAGCCTGGTCTGTCTTGGCTGGAGGTGCTTGGGTGCTAATGCTCCCTTTTGAGGCTCCGGGTAAAATTTGAAGTCCATTGAAATCTACAGAAGTTTCACCACTGGCTATGTCAGTCAGTATTTCATTCTTGACATTTATCTTGCCTTTACGTTCATTACTGCCTCTCATTGTCTGCAGCTCTCATGGATCATTTTGCGATGTCTTTCTTCCTTTTTCCTGTTTTTCTTTCATTCACTTTCTGCCCTCCCAGTTTCAGTAGACCTGTATATTTGACCATGGCTAAGAATTTAAAGGAAACAGGCAGATGTCCTCTGTGACCTAAAAGGATCTGGTCAGTACTTGGTGTGTTAGATCTTCCCTCATCTTCCCAAGGGCAGCTGAGACCATTGCATTGGCCACAGAAGCATGGGGCCCCAGTTTGAGCAGCTCCATCTTCACACCAGCCTGATAAAGCCACAAAGTCCTCTTGGGTCCATCTCCTCCTCTCTGGGTTCCTCAGGGTATGTTGTCTCCAAGTATGAGAAATACAAGCTTTATGCAGGGTCCTGTGATGAAAGCAACACAGAGATGCTCTGATGGAATAACATGGGATCCAGCTGAGATCTTGTTCCAGCACAGATCCAAAGGGGATCCAGATAGAGGGTGAAATCCTACTGCCAGTGAAGCAGATGCAGGTCTCCCACAGAGGGGCCGGGATTTCAGCCATGTGTAAGAACTGAGATGGTGTATACCAGGTGCACCAGGCTCCACATTTTGGATGGAGCACGCTTGTGTGCTGCCTTTCCTTTGCCGGTAAGGGAGGAGTCCATGCAGTCCATCTTCCACCTTACACAGCTGGCTTCTCTGGTCCTAAATCACCTGGTGTAAACTGGTTAGTTTGTTTTGAGTTAATTACTACTCCAGGTTCAACTGTCTCAGTAGGAAGTTTAATTGCATTGCCCGTTTGTCCATCACTGCTTGCTTCCATAGCGCTAAACTATCTGGCAGATAAGAAAATCCATCCTGGGGAGGTGAAAGGGATTTATGATGTGCGTGACCCACGTAAGTAAGAGCCCATTGGAGAAACCAGTTGAGTACCTAGCCCAATAACCTAGTATGATCAGCAGCAACAGTTTAAGTTCTCGTTTTGTGCTCCAAATGGGGTCAAAATGGCCACAGAATTGGGGAGTTATTGTAGAGCAGCCACAGGAGATGCCTCTATCTGGCCAAGCAGTATATTTAGATTAGGTAAAAGTGGTGGGTTTGGAATCTGTGTAATCCATTCCTAGAGGCATGTGGTTTGCAAATGCACCCTCCGTGCAGGGACTGGTGAGGTCCCTGATGAGGTAGGGGTGCTTGGCACCTTGCAGGGTAACCCAGCGTCTCGTAGAGCTGGACCACTGGAGGTAGACCCCCGAACCCCCTCCTGGGTAAGAAGCAGCAGAGGCCATAATGAAGGAAAGGCCTTTGGGGAGCATTATGCAGTGACCCTGTTCGTGGGCAGGGTTGAGGGATTGCTTTTCTCTTTATGTTTCCTTTATTATTTTCTGAAATGAAATTAAAAGTGCTGTGGCAGTCTGTGATCACTCGTAGAGCAACTGATACTGCTTTTCCCTGAGAGACGATCCATTCTAAGTTCTCAGTCCCTTTTTCCCTGTGAACAGGGATTCTCCAAAGCAGAGAATCCTCTTTCCTAAAATAGCTTGTCCCATAAATAAATCTATTGATATTCTTCTGTGGAAGGGTTTGCAGGTTGGGACATGGATTCCCATGTCTCTCTCAAGGAGCCTTTCTTCTGGCCTTTCTATGTGGTTGCAGTTGCTTCTCTAGTTTATTCAGTTGCTATATATTCTCCAGCTTGCTGTGGAATTGAAGCTCTCAGAGTTATTCCATGTTTTCACATGTTACTAGGTCTGTATTCGTCAGTTGGCATATAAAAGCAGAATTTGGCCAGAAAAGCAATTCATCTGAATAAGATGAGCAGACTTTTGCCCCCAGAGAGTCTCTCTAGCCCACCTCAGAAATTCCAGCTGCCACTGCAGCTTCTCTGTTATGTTACCGTTTGCTCAACATTTGGTGCAATGTAAAGTGTTCTGCCGTACATCAAATATAAACAAGAAACACTCTCTATGCAGTCCCTCAGATGTAGTTTGAGCATATTGAACATGTCAGCAGGCAATAAAGATGGAATAAAAATACTTTGCTGTCCGTATGTTTGTCATTTGCTTTTCATGCAATGCAAAGGATGGGTGCTGATACGAACGGGGATTGGTAGCAAAGGTGTTGATGTCCAGCATGCTCTGAACTCTGCTAAACCGCAGACAGAGAATAACCCCGGCAGGAAGGTGAGCTGGCTCCGTTACGTAAAGAACAGACAAGGAGCAGCCCTTGTTTCAGGAGCTTGTTCTTCCGCACCAGGCTCCTGCTTGCACCAGAGCTGAGAGATGGAGTCCAAAGCATAACGTCCATTTGGGATATAGTGGTCTGGTCAGTCCGTGACACTGCCAAGGCTGTAAGTTCAGATGAAAAATTAAATGTTTCATATCTGATCCCTTGTCTCTGCCCCTTACCTGCAGCATCTTCTATTGCAGTCCTGTCTCCTCTCATCCCATCCCTTGCAGAGTGACCTCCTCCTCCTGGTCCTGTGCCCTCTCCTGCCCCGCTTTCCCCATTTCAGATGGACGCAGCCTCAGTTCCTTCAGCGCTATTGGGTGGTACCAGCGGTTAAGTAATTCATGGTAATAAATACTCAAACTCTTCATAATCATCTAAACAAGGCACAAAGGTGCCAAACTGCATGGGCGGCACCAAGGAGGAAGGTGTTGATGGCAGTTTGTCTCTTTTGTGTCAGTAATGCCTCGCCGGTATGAACGGAGGCTTTGCGCGCGTATGTAGGAAAAGGAGCTCTGCGGGGAGCATTTCCAGTGCTAGCTGGCTTCTGTAAGCCCTGGAGAGAAGGGGAAAGGAGCAATAACTGCCTTGTAATTTGGGTGGAATAATCCCTCGCACCTTCTGTGTCTGTGTAGCTGCGAGGGTTGTACAGGAGAGGAGATGATTTGTTTGGGTTTAGCGGGTGAGAGCG